GACTCACTTCATTACTGGATGATTCAGTGTTTTTGAACAAATCTCTTGAATGAATGATTCAGTGACTCACTTCATCACTGGATGATTCAGTGTTTTTGAACAAATCTCTTAAATGAATGATTCAACGACTCACTTCATCACTGGATGATTCAGTGTTTTTGAACAAATCTCTTAAATGAATGATTCAGTGACTCACTTCATTACCGGATGATTCAGCATTTTTGAACGAATCTCTTGAATGAATGATTCAGTGACTCACTTCATCACTGGATGATTCAGCATTTTTGAACGAATCTCTTGAATGAATGATTCAGTGACTCACTCATGTTTTAACAGTCTCTTGTCTCCACCTACTGGTGTAACGATGTAATGATTCAATCTTTATTTATAGTCAAGTTTCTGTCAGAAGCTGATTTACTGTATTGTGATCTCTACTGTACACATCAGTGTTTATATCCCAACTATAAACTTCTATCCAGAACTTCTATGATAATATGAATGATTGTCAGACAGAATTTAATTTTCAACAAATTCACGAAGTATTACCAGGCCCTGTGGACTCTACACACACTCTCTGCGTCAGAACAGATCTGAGTGTCCCAGGTTTATCACATGGTGTGTGTGTGTGTGTGTGTGTGTGTGTGTGTGTGTGTGTGTCGAGACTCACGGACGGGTCATGAGTGTTCCAGGTTTATCAGATGGTGTGTGTGTGTGTGTGTGTGTGTGTGTGTCGAGACTCACGGACGGGTCGTGAGTGTTCCAGGTTTATCAGATGGGGTGTGTGTGTGTGTGTGTGTGTGTGTCGAGACTCACGGACGGGTCGTGAGTGTTCCAGGTTTATCAGATGGGGTGTGTGTGTGTGTGTGTGTGTCGAGACTCACGGACGGGTCATGAGTGTTCCAGGTTTATCAGATGGGTGTGTGTGTGTGTGTGTGTGTCGAGAATCACGGACGGGTCATGAGTGTTCCAGGTTTATCAGATGGTGTGTGTGTGTGTGTGTGTGTGTGTGTCGAGACTCACGGACGGGTCGTGAGTGTTCCAGGTTTATCAGATGGGGTGTGTGTGTGTGTGTGTGTGTGTGTGTGTGTGTGTCGAGACTCACGGACGGGTCGTGAGTGTTCCAGGTTTATCAGATGGTGTGTGTGTGTGTGTGTGTGTGTGTGTGTGTGTGTGTGTGTGTGTGTGTGTGTGTGTGTGTGTGTGTGTGTCGAGACTCACGGACGGGTCGTGAGTGTTCCAGGTTTATCAGATGGTGTGTGTGTGTGTGTGTGTGTGTGTGTCGAGACTCACGGACGGGTCATGAGTGTTCCAGGTTTATCAGATGGGGTGTGTGTGTGTGTGTGTGTGTGTGTGTGTGTGAGTCAGGACTCACGGACGGGTCATGAGTGTTCCAGGTTTATCAGATGGTGTGTGTGTGTGTGTGTGTGTGTGTGTGTGTGTGTGTGTGTGTCGAGACTCACGGACGGGTCGTGAGTGTTCCAGGTTTATCAGATGGTGTGTGTGTGTGTGTGTGTGTGTGTGTGTGTGTGTGTGTGTGTGTGTGTGTGTGTGTGTGTGTGTCGAGACTCACGGACGGGTCGTGAGTGTTCCAGGTTTATCAGATGGGGTGTGTGTGTGTGTGTGTGTGTGTCGAGACTCACAGACGGGTCATGAGTGTTCCAGGTTTATCAGATGGGGTGTGTGTGTGTGTGTGTGTGTGTGTGTGAGTCAGGACTCACGGACGGGTCGTGAGTGTTCCAGGTTTATCAGATGGGGTGTGTGTGTGTGTGTGTGTGTGTCGAGACTCACAGACGGGTCATGAGTGTTCCAGGTTTATCAGATGGTGTGTGTGTGTGTGTGTGTGTGTGTCGAGACTCACGGACGGGTCATGAGTGTTCCAGGTTTATCAGATGGTGTGTGTGTGTGTGTGTGTGTGTGTGTGTGTGTGTGTGTGTGTGTGTGTGTGTGTGTGTGTGTGTGTGTGTGTGTGTGTGTCGAGACTCACGGACGGGTCATGAGTGTTCCAGGTTTATCAGATGGTGTGTGTGTGTGTGTGTGTGTGTGTGTGTGTGTGTCGAGACTCACGGACGGGTCGTGAGTGTTCCAGGTTTATCAGATGGGGTGTGTGTGTGTGTGTGTGTGTGTGTGTGTGTGTGTGTGTGTGTCGAGACTCACGGACGGGTCATGAGTGTTCCAGGTTTATCAGATGGGGTGTGTGTGTGTGTGTGTGTGTGTGTGTGTGTGTGTGTGTGTGTGTCGAGACTCACGGACGGGTCATGAGTGTTCCAGGTTTATCAGATGGGGTGTGTGTGTGTGTGTGTGTGTGTGTGTGTCGAGACTCACGGACGGGTCGTGAGTGTTCCAGGTTTATCAGATGGTGTGTGTGTGTGTGTGTGTGTGTGTCGAGACTCACGGACGGGTCGTGAGTGTTCCAGGTTTATCAGATGGTGTGTGTGTGTGTGTGTGTGTGTGTGTGTGTGTGTGTGTGTGTGTGTGTGTGTGTCGAGACTCACGGACGGGTCGTGAGTGTTCCAGGTTTATCAGATGGTGTGTGTGTATGTGTGTGTGTGTGTGTGTGTGTGTGTCGAGACTCACGGACGGGTCATGAGTGTTCCAGGTTTATCAGACGGTGTGTGTGTGTGTGTGTGTGTGTGGAGACTCACGGACGGGTCGTCGGGGCCGTTGGTGACGCCCTTCAGCACGGCTCTCAGCGGGCTCTTCATGAACGGCCCCAGCATCAGCAGCGGCTCCAGGTAATATCCCACAGAGCGCTGCGCGTGACACTCGTGCTCCACGGGGCCGCCCGTCAGGAGCCCCGGCTGGTAGAACAACACCGTCCCTGCACACACACGTGGAGAAATCAGCTTCACACACACTTTACAAGAGCCGGAGAATGAGTTTAGAAAGACGGCAGCGGCACCAGTTCATCTCCACACAGAGATTGGTCAGTGCATTAGTAAGACCAGCTGACGTTAACAGAGTGTGTGTGTCATTATAAGCCGACGGCGACACTTCAGAAACGGAGGAAAGCAGTTTTCAGAGCGTCTTCCCAAGGCATTAAACACAAACACGAGTTTTTCTTCTTCATCAGAATGGTCTGAAACAGGGTAAAGGTTTTGGCACTTGCTGTGTGAACACACACACACACACACACACACCATGGCCATGAGTGGAACAGGTTAAATGGTCCTGATAACAACAGTCACACTTCAGAAATGCCGCATTGGAAATGAATGCGAGACGAGTTTCCTCTAGTGGAAGCGTTTGGAACTGCAGCCGAACAACATCTCACTGAACGCTGGTTTACTGAGAGATCAGCCTCACATGCGGAACACACTGGGGAGAGTTACGGCTGAGATTAGCTCACTTTTAGAGGGAAACGGGCTTTGGAAAATATAACAATTGAAATAGTATTTTTGTGCATTTTTCATAACAATAAACGTAAAATTCTGTAACTTAAGTTCACTTTTTAAAACTTGTTGTCACTTTAAAAATATAATCTGCAAGTGTCGTGTTTGAGAAGAGATCAAACTTCAGTCTGTCGCTCTAAAGCGTTCCAGATTTACCACAGTTTAAGCTGGACATTAAATTATCAGCTCTACGCTCAAAGACTGAATAAATGGAGTATAAATACAGCGAAAATATAATTTAGTACCATAAAATCCCCTAAAAATACTAAATATTAAATAAAAAACATTATCAAACTAAAATATAGTACATTCATTTAATTCATAAAGCACCAGAGGGTTAAATAATCTATACACTGAATAAAGGGGCGGGGTCTGGTGGAGTTAGTCAGTAGTGTGTTAAACTGGCGGTTATAGAAAGGGGCGGGACATTTCCCAAACACACTCGAAGCGCTCGACCAATCACAACACACTGATCCAGCCAACCAATCAGAGCACAGTGTGCTTTTCAGGAGGAGGGGCTTCATAGAGACAGGAAGTAAACAGAGCGTTACTGACAGACTGGGAAGAGAGGAGCCGCAACAATGGAGAATATGAGGAGAATAATCAATATTTAATCAGGAAAACCTGTTCTAGTAGAGCCTGAAACACATCAGGACTGTTGACATGAAACTCACCCGTTTGGTTGATTTCTATTCTTGTGCCGTTGGTCACTTTGTCGAGGAGTCGGATGAAGCTCGCTTCAAAATCTGACCCACAGAAACAGAGTTCAGAAACACTAACACTAAACATATCAGCAGAAACTGTTTTAAAAACAATAAAGCAGTGTAAATCTGAAGGGAAGAGTCACGGTTCAATGTCTGACATAAACTCGCGTATGTGTGTCTTTACAACATTCAAATATAATTGTTTTTACAATAATGTGTTGCAGTGGATGGACAATAGATATTAACTACTCAAAAGAGAGTCAAATCATTAGAATAAAATCATTTAAAATCATAAATTAATTACAATAAATGTACAATATGGAACTTAAGAATACATTGATGCAATAAAAACAAATTATGTTAACGATAATAAAAGAAATTGTAATCTAGAATAAATATAAATAATTGAAGAAAACAAATTAGAAAAATGTCAAACACATAAATTCTCAATCAACTCATATTTTGCATTTACAGAGGCTTTAATGTTGATGAAGAATAATGTTATTGATATCTGGTTGTTTTCAATTCAAATCAAAATTGCTTTATTGGCATAACTGTAAATAATACAATATTGCAGAAGCTTGGAATACATATAATAATAATAAACGTCTAAATAATAGAAGAAAATAACATAACTTAAACGTAAATAAACAGTGTAACACATGAGCAGAGTGTTTGCACGCTGCGTCACGTGTGCTGTAATTATGCAGAGTTATGATGTTATGATATTTGATCACCTCGAAGGCCCGGATTATCATCTTTAGACCTGATGTTTCGTATTTTCACTCGTTTTCCGCTCAGTGTGGATAAAACGAGCCTCTGTCTGAAGCAGTTGCAGCCCTCGAACTCCATGATGTTACACACGTGTTGTTTCTGTAGCAGGCTGGACTCAACACGGACGAGAGCCCGCGAGGGACAAGCGAGAAAACGCGAAGGCGGAAACACAGCGCTACATGCGATGACCACAAGAGGGCGCCAGAGTCCAACCCTGTTATTTAAAGTCCTCCTGTGGTGTAAATCCAGCGTTTAAAGTTGTTTATGTGTCTATGTGATGTTTATAATCCGCTTTAAGACACACCATGTGTAAGTTCATAAGTCGACAGCATTGCTGAGTATTTCCTCCTTAAAACTGCAGTGAACCAAAGACAGTCTCAAAAACACGGTTTGAAATCGCTGGTGTTTCTGACGTCACAAACGACCTTGTAACCAATCAGATCAACGTGTGATCGTCAACCAGTGGATCTCTGAGCTGAGTGAGTGAGTGGAGGCGGGGCTCATTTGCATATTCATAGAACCGCGCATACTAAATGAGGCGAGGGTGTCGAGTTACATTCAAGATATGTTAAGGCATGAGGACATTATTTTTCAAGGAAAAAACGTTTAAATAAGTAATTTTAGGATCAAAGATGAGTTTTAAGGGATAAAATTATTGACTACAGGGGGACTCTAAATTATAAATACATTCATCTTCGGATCTCAGTCAAGAAGTGTGTATGATGCTTTCAGAACACGGTTTTATCAAACATGTCTGCATTTTTTACATTAACATATTTTAATGTAGTATTTAGTGTGTTGAATAAAAGTAAATTAAATTAGCAAAATCACTTAGTTTCACTTAGTTTTGTCGTAATTAAAATGGATTAAAAACAAAAATACAAGGAAAATAGTCAGTAGAATATAGAAGTGCATTTTTACGGTTTTATTTTCCCCTAATTGTTTAGAGATCTTTATTTTTCTTATACTTTATACTTTTTTTAATTACTTACTGATGAGTAGCAATTAATCAACTTATTTTTGATAAAATATTTTAAAGCTTGAAAAAAAGCATGTTAAAGCTATAGAGAACTTTGAGATTTTATTTATCCCCGTGACTTTTAGTAAATAATAATAATGCATTTGATTTAGAAGCGCCTTTAAAACACTCAATGATCCCTTAGAAAATGAGTAACAATGGTAACAATACAAGACAAAGTCATGTGAAATATAATAAACATCAATTGGAATATTTAAGATCAAAAACAGACTTTTCCAGGTCTAGAAATCACAATGAAATAGTACATTTCACAACAAATCCAGGTTTTGAAATGAGAATCTAATTAATAACAAATTGAATAGCTGGTTTATCTTATTTTAAATCAAGAAAACAGTCCAAAAAAAACATGCAAATCATTTTTATTTGCATCATTCAAAACAAACACACTGAACATTCGGACAGAGTTGATGATCGTTACAAATGAACTTTTGTGTCTAGTAGAGCGTATGATCAGTGAACAGAGAAGAAACACTTCCAACAGAAGACGCCCCGCATTTCATCATCTTCATCTCCTCGAACACGAGTGTGTGCGCAGCCATCATAGATGACAAGAACACTTGCACAGCAATTAAAAGAAAAGCATGAAGATTTAAAAACACCAGATTCATAAAACATCTCTGAAGTTTAAGAGGCCGAATCACTGTTATACAGCCAGAACAAAACACACAGATTTACTCAATACTTCTGTCTATTAACTTCCATAACCAAATAAACATGATACACTGCAAAACACGTGTTCGTCCTCAGCGTTTCTGCCACTAACATCGAAACATCCTGACATCAAGACACATTTACTGGAGAAGAACAATGACTGTGAAGATATTAAGACTTGATTAGTGAAAAATGCATCAAAATAAAGTGAGGTTGAGCTTAAAACACGAACAAATAGTCTTAATTCAAAGAGAAAACAAGATTTATTAGCAGATATTTGTTCTTGTTTTAAGCTCAAACTCACTTTATTTTGATGCATTTTTCATTAATCAAGTCTTAATATCTTCAGTTATTGTTCTTCTCCAGTAAATGTGTGTTGATGTCAGGATGATTAGATGTGAGTGGCAGAAACGCTGAGGAAGAACGTGATGTTTCTGCAGTGTGATTGTGTTTCTGATGTCGATCCGGATCGTTCGGTTCAGATTCGCTCCCAGAACTGCAGCAACTGACTTCCAGCCTGAGGCTCCAGCTCCTGTTCAACACACACACACACACACACACACACACACACACACACACACACACACACACACACACACACACACACACACACACACACACACACACACACACACACACACACACACACACATCAAACATTCACATTAACACCATCATCAAGAAAGTGAAAAGATTAAATGATCACGATATAGATTACAATCATTCATATTATCATAGAAGTTCTGGATAGAAGTTTATAGTTGGGATATAAACACTGATGTGTACAGTAGAGATCACAATACAGTAAATCAGCTTCTGACAGAAACTTGACTATAAATAAAGATTGAATCATTACATCGTTACACCAGTAGGTGGAGACAAGAGACTGTTACAACATGAGTGAGTCACTGAATCATTCATTCAAGAGATTCGTTCAAAAATGCTGAATCATCCAGTGATGAAGTGAGTCACTGAATCATTCATTCAAGAGATTTTTTCAAAAACACTGAATCATCCAGTAATGAAGTGAGTCTTTGAATCATTTATTCAAGAGATTCGTTCAAAAATGCTGAATCATCCAGTAATGAAGTGAGTCATTGAATCATTTATTCAAGAGATTCGTTCAAAAATGCTGAATCTTACAGTAATGAAGTGAGTAATTGAATCATTCATTCAAGAGATTCGTTCAAAACCGCTGAATCATCCAGTGATGAAGTGAGTCATTGAATCATTTATTCAAGAGATTCGTTCAAAAATGCTGAATCATCCAGTAATGAAGTGAGTCATTGAATCATTTATTCGAAAGATTTGTAGAAAACCGCTGAATCATCCAGTGATGAAGTGAGTCATTGAATCATTCACTCAAGAGATTCGTTCAAAAACACTGAATCATCCAGTAATGAAGAGAGTCATTGAATCATTCATTCAAGAGATTCGTCCAAAAACACTGAATCATCCAGTATTGAAGTGAGTCATTGAATCATTCACTCAACCTGACTATTTAAAAACAATTAAATTGATTCAATTTCTTTGAAATAGACTTTGAAATCGCTGGTGTTTCTGACGTCACAAACGACCTTGTAACCAATCAGATCAACGTGTGATCGTCAACCAGTGGATCTCTGAGCTGAGGGAGTGAGTGGAGGCGGGGCTCATTTGCATATTCATAGAACCCTGCATACTAAATGAGGCAAGGTGTCGAGTTACATTCAAGATATTTTAAGCCATGAAGACATTTTTTTCAAAGAAAAAACGTTTAAATATGTAATTTTGGTGAGTTTTAAGGGATAAAATGATTGACTACAGGGGGATTTTAAATTGATTGACTTTAAGTGTTTATTTTATTGCACTTTATTTGCTCTGTAAAGTCATAACTCTCCACTTCTGCAGCTTTGCACACGCCAAACCTTACAGTTTTCTTCATATCTTAATGCTCAAGGTTTATTCATATATCATTCGCCTGATTTATACGACATTTTACTCCTTAAAACATGATGAAAATGTATTTTTCTGTAAAATCTGTATTTTCTGATTTATGTAGAGATGAAAAGAGAAATCCAGAATCTCCTCTGGAAAAAACATTCAATATGTCAACAAAATCAGACAAGAGTCTTAAACCCGGAGTTATCCAGTGTTCAGATTTCTCTTCTGGAAATGTATGCAAATGAGGGTAACACTTTATTTTACAGTGTCCTTGTCACATATGTTACATGTACTTACCATAGTAATAACAGTAAATTATGCATAATTACATGCAACTAACCCTCAACCAAACCCTAATCCCAGTAATTACATGTAGATGCTTAATATTACTCAGCACTTAAATATATAATTACACTGTTACAACGACACCTTAAAATGAAGTGTAACCCACATGAGTGCTTGTTTAATTAGATAGTACCTACTAATTATTGACAACAGGAAAAGTAGAGATACTTTAAGTTTACAGTGAAAATGACTCATTACAAGTTGCATTACTCGTTACAAATGATACTCCGGTAAAGTGCAGCTTCCCCAGAGCTGTCCTGCAGTGTGTGTGTGTGTGTGTGTGTGACGCACCTGTCCGTCTCGGCTGATCTGGACTCTCTTGCTGTCGTTCCAGGGGTTCAGGAGATGCTGCGTGAGCTGGAACGGTAGATTCTCCTTCCGGACCCACTCGACCCCGAACACACCGCCCAGACCGACCGAACCCCAGTCCAGACACCTCTCGCCACTGATGGACGACGTCATGCGCGCGTAACCCTGGCGCACGCGCACACACACACACACACACACACACACACATGCGTACGCGCGCACACACACACACACACACACACACACACACACACACATGCGTACGCACACACACACACACACAGTCAGTCAGTATTAGGGCTGTCAAAATGGCTGAAAAGCTAAATTCTAATTTCTTTCTTAAATATTAGCAAAATTCTAATTATATTTGAATTCTGAAGGCAATAATTAAAGGGTTAGTTCACCCATAAATGTAAACTCTGTCAGTAATGACTCTCCCTCATGTTGTTCAACCCCGTAAGACTTTCGTTCATCTTCGGAACACAAATTAAGATAGTTTTGATTAAATCTGAGAGCTGTCTCACTCCTCCATAGGCTTCTATTGTAATTGAAACTTGCCGGTCCAGAAAGTTATTAAAGCAGCACTAAGTAGGAATTCCGTTTTTGTCAAACAGCGACCCCTAGAGTCGCTGTGGAGTACTTGTACTGTCGTGAATAGCACTCACGCAGAGATGGCTCGCACTCACGGCCGGATCCCCTCCCCCTGTACACCGGCACCTGTTCAGTAGGATGGACGCTGTAACGAGTGGAAATAAGGTATGGCCCCTTTAAGAGCTGCGCGCGCCCTGTTTAGCTGTCGGCAGTCTGTATTGTATGTGCGCCTCGAACACCACATGTATACGGCGCCGGGTTATTTCTCTTTGATG